AAGAGCCACCTCCTAGGCCCTGCCCATGGCACTTGCTGTGTGGGGAGGGTCTGACTAACACGACCCCCCCCCCCCCCCAGCCAGTCTCTGAGCATGTGGGGTCCCAGTGACTATCGCTGGGCCCCAAACAGTCATTCACACCTCTACAGAGGATGGGTGATTGACAGGATGGGCACAGGGCAGCAGTGAGCTGGGCCTCTGCCTGCAGCCTGTCACCCTGAGGTACCAGCCTGGCCTCCCTGCGTCATGCCCAGGGCCGGGCTGGCAGGTGTTGTCTGTCACTGGAATGAGCTATGGGGCCCAGCACAGACACCCCCTCTAACGCCGTGTGACACCCACCAGTGAGTGACCTGGGCAGGGCCCCACAGTGCTAGTGCAGAGAGGGTGTACTGGTGACCAGGTGAGTGTGGGATCTGGGATCTGGTCCCTGGAGGATTTAGCAGCTGGCAGGGGGTGACTCCAGGTCTGTCTGCACTGGGACTCCTCTGTGCCGATGGTACTGACTGATGTGTTACCAATTTGCATCAATTCAACTGTAAGTGTGCGGCGGGGTGCGGCGGGCTTGCCCTGGTGCTGATCACTGCAGTAGGTGACCAGAGTGGGACATGCTGCTCTTGCACGTGTGTGCGAGGGGTTTGCACTGATGTATCTGCTTCACCATCCTTACCAGAGCCAGCTGCCCTGGTGCAAGCAGCATAGGTTCACAGTGTAAAATGAGATCTGTGAGCTTGGGGTTACTCTCCCTGGCATGTGCAGGCTGCCCCAGAGCGCAGTGGGGCCAGATGGTAGAAATGGCACCAGTTGGACCTTGTGGTGCCCGGGCCCATCAGAAAGTACAAGAAGGGGCCCACAGGTCTGGCAGCCTTTCTCCTGGGGGCCTGTATATGCCCATGTGCAGCTCAGTGCAAGGTGTGAAATGTGAAATCATGCCCCGCACACCTGCAGCTGCTCCCTGGAACGAGGGACACAAATCCCACACTGAGCCGCACCAGGGAGCAGTGTCTGCACTACCCCCCCCCCCCCCCCCGCGTGCGAGCACCAGCACATGCAGCACCCAGCACCATGACATCATTAGGGGTGTGCAGGCCAGTGCACGACCTATTCGTTCTTTGATCTCTGCTGCCACAGGGGAAGGCTTCAAAACCAGCTACAGAGTCACTGTGGTGCAAAGGAGCAAGTGCACAAGGTGGCTGGAGGGGTTTGTGGCAGACCCCTCCCCATGCCAAGTTATGGAGGCTGAGAGTGGGCAGGAGTGGTTGTGGGGAGGGAAATCCCGAACTCACATGGTGTTTGGAATGGGCTAGAATTTAGCAACCCCTCCATAGTGAGCCTGAGAACCTGCAGCTGGCCCTGCCAAACGCTCCAGAGGGTGAGTTATCCCTCCTCCCCTCCCCCGTGTAACCCTTCCTCCGGCACTGCAAGGGCCACACTGCAGGGAGGCCTCAGTTTTCCTCTGGATGCTGAATTAGCAGGAAGCAATCTCTCTGTATAAGGAATGCATCAGGCTGCAGCCACCCTGTGGCCATTTGGTGTCCCTGATTGCCTTACTCGGCTGCCTTGTGTGGCTCTGAATGTGCCGCTATTGGCCTTGTGGCTGGGCTGCTCTGAGCTGTCCCTGCCCCCGGGCTGGGCATGTCCCTTCCCGCCCTGTTTGGAATGGGCTAGAATTTAGCAACCCCTCCATAGTGAGCCTGAGAACCTGCAGCTGGTGACCCTGCCAAACGCTCCAGAGGGTGAGTTATCCCTCCTCCCCTCCCCCGTGTAACCCTTCCTCCGGCACTGCAAGGGCCACACTGCAGGGAGGCCTCAGTTTTCCTCTGGATGCTGAATTAGCAGGAAGCAATCTCTCTGTATAAGGAATGCATCAGGCTGCAGCCACCCTGTGGCCATTTGGTGTCCCTGATTGCCTTACTCGGCTGCCTTGTGTGGCTCTGAATGTGCCGCTATTGGCCTTGTGGCTGGGCTGCTCTGAGCTGTCCCTGCCCCCGGGCTGGGCATGTCCCTTCCCGCCCGGAAAACGTCTCCCGCCAGGCGTCTCCCTCGCCCTGCGTCTGGCTGCGCTGGGAGCTCCGGGCTGCAGGTGCTCGACCTGGCGAAGGGCAGGGAGTTTGTTCCCATCCTCCCCTCAGCCCCTTCCTGGGCAGCCCAGCACAGAGCAGGGGAGGGAAGGGGCAGTGGCCCAGGCGAGCAGAGCTCCTCTGGCGAAGGGCAGGGAGTTTGTTCCCATCCTCCCCTCAGCCCCTTCCTGGGCAGCCCAGCACAGAGCAGGGGAGGGAAGGGGCAGTGGCCCAGGCGAGCAGAGCTCCTCGTTACCCAGCCTGCCAGCTGCAGGGCTGCTAACAGCCCCTCCCTCTGCAGTTCCCTGCCCACCCCCTGCTCTGACCCACAGCCTGGGCCCAGCCCTATGGGCTTAGACACACGAGCCCATTGTCAACTGCCTCCCTGTGGAGTGTGAACTGAGACAGTGGCCCGGTGCCATCGGGTCAGAGAACCCTCCCTGTGGGGCTGGATTACCAGTGTCCTCCTGGCTCCCTCTTTCCCACGCCCGTGTCAGAGGAGTCTCAGCAGCCTGGGGTGCCGGGATCATTTCTGCCACCCATGGGCAGGTCCCCTCACCCCACCTGTTCCTGTCTCATTTCAGTGCTGTTATTTGGGTGCGCTCCAGCTGTGCAGGGCCCCTGGTGCCCAGACAGCTGGGTCGGCTACCAGGGGAAATGCTTCTATTTCTCCGAGGGTGAAGGGAACTGGACCTACAGCCGGAGCAACTGCTCTGCCCTGGGGGCCTCCCTGACTGGGATCGACAACGAGCAGGAAATGGTGAGAGACTCGTCGCTCTGGCCTGGCCTGGGCTCAGTGGCTGGGAAGGGACTTTCCAGCCCCTGAATGCCCAGCCGGGCTGGGCCCAGGGCCCCTCTGGTGTCAGTGATGGGGGGGGGGGGGGATCAGCCACTGTCAGGCCTCTGAGCAGGAGACGCCCCTCTGGGGCTGGCCCGGCCCAGTGTCTGCTGGGCTGCCTGGGGCTGGAGGGGGCTAAGACCCCAGCGCGGCTGGAAGAGCCAGTGCCCCAGGGTAAAGGAAGGAGCAGCCAGCTGAGGTGGGGGAGGGTCCTCTTAGGCCTGGTCCCTCCCAACATCACCTGTTCGGATCAGCTGGGCTCTTCCCTGCCCCAGGGAGGACTAGAGGGAGCCCAGCTGCAATGGAAGGCAAGGGTTTTGCACAGAGCCTGGCCTGGTCTAAGTGGGGCTTAGGACTCAGTAATTCCCAAGAGCAGCCCCGGCCATGCGGGGGGAGGGTTAATACTGAATTACACAGAGCTGGGCAAGGGGGAGGGGAAAATCCCCAGCCACCCCCTGGGAACACTCAGAGCCCCTCTGTGTGCACCTGGGATTCCCTGCCCAGGGCCCTGACCCACCCCCCCTCCGCTGCTCTAGACTTTCCTGCTGCGCCATAAAGGCAAACTCCACCACTGGATCGGCCTCTGGAGGGACCCGGGGCAGCCCTGGAAATGGGCCAACGGCACTGAATTCAACAACCTGTGAGTCTTTGCCCCCCTCTCCGTGAGCTCTGCTGTCAGTGGAATCTGTGTCATCACGTAACCAGTGTTTCGCTTGTAAGATGCACATGAAAAGCACCACTGCTCACACCCACCCCCACACCCACCCTCCCAGGGAACTTCCTTTTGGACTCCCGTTTATAGTGACCCTTGAGTCCTGCTTTGCTACCTTAGCCAGTTATTTTACTAACCAATTGTAACCTGCTGTATCAGAATTAGCGAACCAATCATACCCCTCGCCCTTAGTAGATTTACACCTAGGAAAATGAATTACTCTGCAGAGAGAAGCCATTAAAAACCAGACAGGTCACAGGGACACCCCCGCTGGAGTCAATAGCCGGGTTTGAAGCCTGGCTGGTCGTCAATGAAAGCCCGAGACTCTTGAGTGACAGCACCGAGGGGCTGGATTCACAAAGGGATTTAGGTGCCTAACTGCCCTGGGGGCGGTTCCAGTGTCCCACAATCAGGTGCCAGTCCCAGAAGGAATGTTCAGCCAGTCGCCTCTAAACTCCATAGGGCCTGAAACGTGCTTGGTGCCTCCGTTTTCACAGCAGCTGTTCTCTGGGGCCTGTTCCTGCCTCACGGCTTGGTGCTGCATGGCACGGGAGGGGGACGTGCTCCTCCACCCAAGGCCGCTGTGGGGCCCGGACTGGGCTGGCACCTGGGCAAAGTGGGGAGGGCTGGCTCCGTGCTCCCAGTGGCGGGACTCAGGGCAGCCAGCCCTCGGCGTGGCCTGGAGTGCAGCTCCCCCTCCCCCGACCTTGACCAATAACTCTTGGACCAGGCAAATGTCCAACCCCAGCCCTGAGAGTTATCAGCACTGTGATGCTGGCCTACGTCTGCTGAGGAGGAGCTGCCCCAAGCATCCC